AAGAGAATGAAGGTTGACTTGAAGAGAAGTTTCTGAAATGTTAGTTTGTCATTGCTTTAATCTAGTCCCTCAGATTCTTCCAGATGTTGCTTCTGCTCCTGCCCCTTGCACCCTGCTCTTTTGTACAGTTTATTCAGGAAATACCTGAGAAAAAAGTATGTTCCTGGGTCTAGGGCATTGCCAGAGGCACTGGGAAAACAGATGAAAGATAGGCCTCCTGCCGCTAGCTCAGAGCCTCTGTTCTGTTTATCCAGACACCTGGTTAGAGATATCCTTCATTTCAGGCCTTACCTCAGTGCACGTGGCTTCAGTGTGGGTTATCTTGGCTGCCCTGGATGTTTTATGAGCTTCTTTATACCAAATAACAGTGAGAGTCCCAGAAGGCCCAATTAGTTGAGAGGTTAGTATGTCCTAGGTGCTGTGATAAACACTGTACAAATATTATTTCACTTAATTCTCATGTCAACCTGAGGTAAAGATTATTTTTAGATGACAAAACTCAGGTTAAGAGAGGCTAACCGAGTTGTGTGACGTCATGAAGTTACAGCTGGAAAGAATGCTGATGGCAGGCCCCTGCAACCAGTGCCTCAAGCTGTCACGCTCTTCAGCCTGCATCTTCTGCTTGCATCTGGCAGAATGAATTAGAACCTTCTCCAGCCCTTTGCCTCTGAATTTATAACTTGTTCCTTCCTGAAAATCTCCAATCTCCAATCAGGAGAGTAAAGATCCCTTTTCTGAATACTCTGAACAGATGAAGCACCACTAACAAGAATTACTGCTGCTCATGGTCCCTAGGCACTCCTTCCACTGTCCAGCCATCATTGGCTAGACAATGGAAGGAGGCGTTCCATTATACCCAACTTGCTGCTCTGCTCAGGACCTTAAAGAGAGTCAAATACATAGTTCCCCCCACTTTGCTTCTGCCTCCACCTGCCCAGGGCAACTGGACAAACATACATGACTGAATTATGGGGGGTGGTAGCCAGCCTTCAGTGGAAATCCCATAAGAGTTAGTATAGAAACAGACTTCTATTATACAGTCTCAGATAGAAACGAGGTAATGTAGGTTTTGGCAGGAAATTATTATTTTTGACTGATTCTCAAACCCATAGTTTATGCCAAAATTCACTTCCCCACCCCCAACCTACTCCACTTGCTTTTACAAGAACTTTGGACACCCTGAATTATTTTGGAAATTTGGGGAATATTCTGTGTTACTGTGTGCAATAGGTTCCTGGGAAATTACTTCAAAGTGTAACTCAAGCAAAGAACAAGTTTTACTTGGATGTCAAACAACCTCCTCAACCAGTGTACATCGTAATTCCTTCTTGCTATTTTTCAAAGATCTCAACATCTAACCATCTAACAGTATTTAGATAACAAAAATTGAACAGTGCTTATAATAGCAGTGTCTGCTCATTCTCAGATAATGCTTCATGCGAAGTTTTTGAAAAGGTGCTACGGATATGGTGCTTTTAGGTTCTAGGTCATCGGTTCAAATGCAACCCAGATTAGTGACTATCATGCAATATTTATCTTTGTAAAATGAACCACGGTTCTAACTTGAAATCTAAGATGTGGTTAGATACATTTTAAATATGGCTACCACCTCTGATACCTCGGCAGAAATGCTGTTTGTTGTGAGCTGGGGTAAAATGCACATTAAATGTTCATCTTTAAAAAAAAGAAGTGTTCAAATTTTATTAGACCAAATCATTTAAAAGACACACACACAATATCCATACACATGATAGTTTCTTTTTGCTTTTACAATTGCATGTGCTGATGTGAAATGTTTTACTCAGATGAAAATATCACCAAATGCATAATTTTTATGATCTACATAATTTCAGAGACTCTGCAGTTTAATATTTTCTATATGTAAAGAATTATTGTGAGTGGTTTATTGAGTTTTATAATGTTAATATTTACTTTTCCCTCTAAGAATTTATAAAATATTTTCTCCTTAATTGGTTATTATTTTTTCACAAAATTGTCTCTCCTTAAAAATAGTTTTCTAAGATAGAAACTTTCCTAGGTGAAGATCAAATTTTCTTTAAACATTCTCATTAATCATTCTTTCATTCATGAAGTGAATATTAACTTTGTTCCTACCATGAGCATAGTACTTGCTGAATTGGGTGCTCTAGGAGGATACAAAGCAATTTAACACATAATCCTCACCATCAAAGAGTTTGGAGTTGAGGGAATACAGTGCAGACACGCAATGCATGTTAGAGAGTAATGGAAGAGTATCTGAGATGTCACAAGGCTGTGTGTGACTAAGTATAGAATGGATGCCACTGGTAGTACATAAAGGCTCTCGGTTCCTAGGAAGGAGAAATGCTGTGGCAAGGAGAGGTTAGACAAGCTCCAGAAGAGGTGGGTTGGTATCTGGTCTTGAAAGGTAAGAAGTTCTTAGGGAGTGGACAAAAAGCTGTTACTGTGCGTCCAGATCAGGGCCCAATGTTTGAGCAAAAGCTCAGTGGTAGGAGTGAGCCAAATGTAATTTTAAAGAATCAGGGTGCATTCTATTCAGACATGGCAGAGGGCTTGGGTGTTGGAGTGTCTCTGGGGCTCAAAATTAGCTGTGAAGACTATTCCCGACGCAACATGACAAAGTGTGTGAACAGTGTGCGGTGTCGGGACCTGGAGAAGCATGGATAGTTGGTGGAATGTGAGTTGCTATCTGGTTTCATAAGGAGAAGTGATGATCCCTAAACCTGGTGAACAGGTCTTCCCCTTCTGCACCTCCCACCACTTGCCCTTTAAAGAAAAGGGGGGGGGGGAGACAGATAAACAGGAAACACCATTTTTGCTTTTGTTCTCTTACTCACGTATTCTAATCTTCTATCTACTTATAAAGTTGTTCCCCAAATCAAGGAAAGGCCCATTCTTTGAAGTTTTCAGGGATGCATGTCTGATTCCAATTGAAATACACTCTGGTTTCTCCACAGCTTTTTTTTTGCTAGGAAGATTTTCTAATATCCTTAAAAATTATTTCTTTCTATTTTTCTTCCTCTTTTTGGCCTGAAAATGGTAAGCTGCTTTCCTCAACCTTTTCTGGGCTAAATGGTTTTATCATTTTAGTTATTTTCTCCAAGGGCTGTTGTTCAAACTTGTAATCAAGAAGAAAAAATTGATTTCTTCTTAAACTCCCACATTCTCCATATCTCACTGTAAAAATGTGGGGTTAAAGACACTACAGAATGCTCCAGGATAGCCTGTATCTACTGGCATCAAGGAAAATCCTCATGCTTTTCTTTTACTAAATCAATCATGATTTTAAGGCTGAAGCAGAACCACCAATAGTTAGTGTTGACTGTGACCTCCAGATCATTTTCTTTATGACATCACAAAATGAATCCTGCAGTTGTGTGCTTTGTTTTCCTTCCCATGTGAATTATACTATAGAACCTCAGTCTGTTTATGTCCACCCACTTCTCCAGCTCATCAAGATCATTTGCACTTCCATCCAGTTTTCCAAAGTGGAATGTACCACACCCGGTTTGATGTCATCCCTGAACTTAATAACCATATTCTCTTCCACCATCTAAGTCCCTACTAAAAATAGCATCAGGTAAAGACCAATTGCTTTGGAATCCCATGAGGTATGCATCTCTGGTCTGACACTGGGCCATTAATAATTACTTACTGAGAAAGGCCTTCTAAGCACTTAAGAGTCCACCTGATGAGAAGATGATTTCAGGGTGTACTTCTTTAATTGCCCAATATCAAGCAAGACAAAACTTAAAACTGCACAATAGTCATACTATTTCGTATCTTTGCCTTCTACTCAGCGTCATCAATCTTGTCATGTTTCTGAGGAATAGCATTTGACTAATGTGATAGGGTTTCTTTTTTGAACAAAACTGCCTTGCTTTTTCACCTCTGGCATGCGACTCTGTGTATGTGTGTGTGTGTGTGTGCACGTGTGTGTGTTGATATGATTATAATGTATTTCTGGATCTGGATGTGAAGGTGTTGAGTCTGATTTCTCCTTTTAAAACACAAGTGTACATTTCTCTTTTTCAGTCCGCAGACACCTCACCTTAAGTTTGCAAAGATAATTGCTAGTGATTCTGTGATGACTTCATTGAAATGCCATGCCATGGTGTTTGCCAGTAATTGTTTATTCACTCTGCCATCCGAGCTTGCAGGTCATACATTAGCATATGCATTTGTATATAATAATGATTTTCAATTTATTGAGTAGAGTCATCATCTGAAGCACTGTAAAAACACAAGGATAAAAGCAATTCCTACCTCACATGTTTGTCACTTAACTGGAATAGACATGACAATTAAAAAATAAAAACATAGAGAAAGGAAAGGTCAGTCAAACTGCCAGACATTGCTGGCAGCTAGTTGAATTTTTCTTTGGCACAACCTTTGGACTGGAGCCATTTTGATTTAGAGGAGACTCATTGTAGAAAAAGCCTTCCTGGAATGTGAGAATTTTGACAAGAGGTCTGAAAAAGAAAAGGCAACTCGCTAGAATAGTTGGAGGGAGAGCATACGTTTATATAGAAACAAATGGATTGTTCTCATCCCTCTGTTCTGTGACAGGGATTTTCAGTGGCTTCAAAAGGAATTCTGTGTATGATGGGTATGTAGGGGAAGGGAGATTGTTTAAAAGAGTCAACCCTTGTTTTACCTGGCTGGCAAACAAAAGAACCTTCCAGCCACATGAACTTGGTTGCACAACTCACAACATCTTGGTTATGATAAGGGTTGTTGCTAGAGACTGATGTTTCTGGTGCTTGAATTCTAAAACATTGTTTTCTACAAGTCATCCACTTTGTTGGGTGTTGTGACTCAAATGTCGGTTGTGGTTAATCTGCACAGACATGGGAATGGAAATGAGTCCCTCGGGGAAGGCTGGCTAGGTTTCTGTTTGGCCATCTGCATACTGTTGAGAAAGGTGCATGTTGTTGTGGCCAGGTCTAGCCATGTAATCTCATGTCACCCAACCTTCCCTTTGACTATTTCCATTCCAGTGGCCAAGGATGAAGCCTGACATGGTGTCATCTTTTCTTACAATCTGCGCTGGGAACTTCACCTCTGGAATCACTCTTGGGGTAAGTCAATAGAGATGGCCATTATCACCAGAAGGCCCAAGGTAGCCGTTTGAATATTCCTACAGGAGGATGAGTGGTGCCATCTACTTTATTCTTTTCCCATTAGCTCATTGGACTAATGTATTGTATTTCTTAACAACCAAAAGCCTGGCCCTAAGGACATGAGGTTCCACATGGCTAACCTGCAAAATGGAGCATGAGAGGAATAGAGGGAAGATGAAGAGAGCATGGTATGATGAAAGCTGGTATAGGGTGTTTTAATGTCCAGGAAAGCAGTCTTAGTTATTGATGGGCCATCCACAGAAGGTGGACATGGGTGCCAATAACGTGGGCTATGGAAAAGAGAGGGTGGGGGGGGGTCCATCACTGCTTTATTTTGTCTTTTTTCCTTTTATTCCCCTGCATGTCTATTTCTAAACCTATAGTCATGGCAATATTAAGTGTCAAAGCATTCTGCTTTGTACCAAAGATCTCTGAATGAGGCTACTGTTTATTGTATTCTTTGTTGGGTGAAAGGTTAAAGAAAAGTGCATATATTTTTTTTTTATCCAGTTCATTCAGGTTTTAATATAGAGCAGAGCAAAATACAATGAAGAGTATTGTACATTGACAGCCCCAACTTCTTGAAGATATTGAGAGAATATAGCTGTATGTTCTTGCCATAAGTTAAAAATAGAGCTTCCAAAGCCTTGACTGATACCTTTCTTGGGTTGTTTAGAGAATTGAACCCTTTTGGACATTGGTATGTGGTGAGGTTTGAGCCTTGGCTGGCATAAAGGTAATTACCAAAGCTTGGTTGCTGAATTACAAATCTTACTTACCTAACAAGCATACAAGAGCAGCTTCCATAATGGAAGTAATATATTCCACAGTGAGTGCCAGGGAGGGCAAAGGGAATGTATTATCCTATGGTGGATCAACCCACCTCTTTGATACGGGTTGGAAACAGAAGTTGAAACTTGCCACTGATTGCATAAGTGATTCCTTCCATACAATTTGTCTAATTACAAATTTTTAAGTATAGTGATCATTAGCTTCTGGGTGGAGAATTTGGTGTTTTATTTGAATACAATCCTGGTGATGTTCAGCTCCAGAATATACTTTCTCTTCTCCAAAAAGCGTGGTCAGTTGCTACCTTGGTTTTTGATGCACAGTGCAGGTTGGGGGGAATATTGTCACATAATTTATGCTGAAATGGGATTTCCTGCATTTTCCCATAAGATTCTTCGCTAAGGTAGATTATTGTACTGACTTTGCAGGTGGGAATGCATGAACCAGGGGCATGCAGAATTGATGTGCATGAATTGATGCCCCTTGCGCAGCCCTGGCAGGGGCTGGTCTTGGCAGGAGTTCTTGATGAACATGAAACTGGAAGGGACTGCCTCTAGATTACTCAGGGCCACTTTCCATACTGCTTGGGGAACTGGAAAGCTTTGTTTGCAAATTCTTGTCTGACTTTTGGCCTTATCACATAACAGGCCTCTGTCCATTTGTCTCTGGTGAAGCTGTGGGGAGCTGCTTCTGGCTCTGAATACCTTTGTATGACACTTCACTTGCTCCTTGATGTCAAGGCTTATGGTATTCCAAAGGAGTAAAATATCAGAGTAATGGATAACTCTCCTTCAGAAGTACCTTTAATCCAACTTAAGAATTGCTTTTGACTAACTTAAAAGTGAGGCCTGATTTAATATACCAGGGAGGACATAGTCTTTGGAAAGACCAGAATGGATTTCCTAGCTGTGTCTCCCTGGGCAAGGTTATACAGTCTTTCTAAGCCTCATTTTGTTTGGAGGGTGAATACACTTATTCCTTCTTAAAGATGGTTGAGAGCAGTAAATGACGTAATGTATGTAAAGAGACTAACGTAGTGTTTAGTTTATATAAGTCACACATCATGCTGTGGTATGTCCAAGCTGGCTTCTGCTGTTTTGTGAGCCAGTTGTTAAATTTCCAGGAAGTTCTTGTGCCAGTCGACATCACTTTGGTAGCTTGAAATCAGCTCTGGAAGTACAAAATCAGACCTTTTCTTCTCCCTGGAGAATTGGCTATAAAACATTTAAGAGTACACCGTTGGTAACAAGTGTTTAATCCCCCTTTTCTACAGCCCTAAATTATATTACAGACCTCCCAGCCTTTGTAAATGGTTCACATAGAGTTTGAAATGATCCTATAAAGAAGATATAAGGTAATCACAGTAAACTTCAGTCTTTTTTTCATATTGTAACACAAAGATATTGCTAGGGCCCATTGACACTGCCCTTTCTATCCTACAGGACTGGAGGATGTTCTGCTTTTTGAGGTCTTACGTTTGCTTTTCATATTTTTTTTCCTTCTCAGGTTAGCTGGTATGTCTGTCTCTAATAGCTCCTCCCTACTTATTATTTGCTACTCCTCATTATTTGTCAGCTGGAAAACCAGCTGTTAAAATAATGTGTAAAGTAAATGTAAACTGGCTCCCAATTAAAAAAAAATGGGCAAAGAACCTGAATTGATATTTCTCTGAGGAAGATATAAAAATGGCCAATAAGCACGAAAACATGCTTGACATCTATAGCCATCAGGGAAACTGAAATGAAAGCCATAATGAGATACCACTTCACACTCATCAGAAAGCTTATGGTCAAAAATCCAATTATAAATGTTGATGAAGATGTGGAGCAATTGGAACCCCCACATGTTTGGGGGGGAATGTGAAGTGGTGTAGTTGTTTTGGGAAGTAGTCTGGCAGTTCATCAAATAACTAAACACAGGGATCCCTGGGTGGCGCAGCGGTTTAGCACCTGCCTTTGGCCGAGGGCGCGATCCTGGAGACCGGGGATCGAATCCCACATCGGGCTCCCGGTGCATGGAGCCTGCTTCTCCCTCTGCCTATGTCTCTGCCTCTCTCTCTCTCTCTGTGTGACTATCATAAAAAAAAATAACTAAACACAGATCCACAGACCCATATATATGACTGGCAGTTCCATTCCCAGGTGTATATCTAAGAGAAATGAAAACATATGTCCTGTACACGACTGTTTACAGCAGCATTAATTCATAGTAGCCAAAAAAATAGAAACAATCAGAACATCCATCAATTGATAAAGGGAAAGTAAAAGGTGGTATATCCATCCAATGGAATATTATTTGGCCCTAAAAAGTAATGCAGGACTGATGCCCACTACAGTATGGATAAACCTTAAAAACATTGTGCAGGGATGCCTGGGTGGCTCAGTAGTTGAGTGTCTGCCTTTGGCTCAGGGTGTGATCCTGGGGTCCTGAGATTGGGCTCCCTGCAGAGCCTGCTTCTCCCTCTGCCTATGTCCCTGCCCCCCTTTCTCTCTGTGTCTCTCATGAATAAATAAATAAAATCTTAAAAAAATTAAAAACATTGTGCTAAGTAAAAGAATGCAGTCACAAAGAACATAGATGGGTCCATTCAAATGAAAGCCCAGAATAGGGATAGCTATAGAGATAGAAAATAGATTAGTGATTCCTTAGGGCTGGGGTAGGGATGGGAATAAGGGATTAGAGGAATGGTTGATCAAGGATATGGCTTTTCTTCTTGAGGTAATAAAGATATCCCAAAATGGATTGTGGTGATAGTTGTGCAGATCTGTGAATGTACTAAAAAACATTGAATTGTATACTTTCAATGGATGGTTTATATGCTATGTGAATCCTATAGCATGGATTGGTAAAGCTGTTACTTTACTATGAAGGTTTAATTCATAGACTACAAGAATGATCTACACTGAGGAAAATATTCTTATGCAATCAATATAGTAATTAACTTACAAAAAAAGCAAACTGGCTTTGAGCAACAACCTGAGGGGTTCATCGAAAAGGGAATTGCATGGGTTTTGACATCTATTTTTGCTGTTAAGGAACTCTTTTTTTTTTCTTGTGGTTATATTCTGGAGAGTTAGTGTCTCAGATAAGTAATATCCACCTACCTGGATGAGTCGTATACAGGGATTTTATTTATTTATTTTATTTTTAATTTTTTTAAAGATTAATTTATTTGCTAGAGAGAGAGAGAGAGAGAGGCTGAGAAAGAGAGAATCTCAAGCATACTCCGTGCTGAGCATGGACCCTGATGTGGGTCTTGATCCCATTACTCTGAGATCACCTGAGCTGAAATCAAGATTCGGGCACTCAGCTGACTGAGCCATCCAGGCACCCCCCCCCCATACAAGGATTATAATTGCCCTTTTGGATGACCATAGCATACTGAATATGTCACTCACTCCATTGGTGTGTATGTTTAGTTTAATAGTTTGGATGATAGTGGTGTTGATACTGTCATTCACAAAATCTGGAATCTGTAGAGATGGGGGAAGGGTCAAGTGAAGGGTAGGGGCAGCAATATGGATATCTACAAATCATCATTAGTAGAACAAAGATAAGTGATAAGTAGATATAATTTAAAAATAGCAAAGTAGGGATACCTGGGTGGCATGGAGCCTGCTTCTCCCTCAGCCTATGTCTCTGCCTCTCTCTCTCTCTCTCTCTCTTTCTCTCTCTCTTCTGTGGCGACTATCATAAATAAATTTTAAAAATTTAAAAATAGCAAAGTATTCAACAGCTCTGTGTGTGTGTGTGTGTGTGTGTGTGTGTGTTTACCTTTTTAAAAGAAGCTTATAAGATATTCTGGTGCAGAGTGTAGAGGTGAAGATACTTATGTAAAGAGTGACCCATGGCAGTAACTTTCTACTTGATATAATGCTCTTGTATTATGCCAACACCCAGAAAATTGTGCTGCCTTTCATACTTCGCGGAATTGCTGTGAAAATGTTACCTTATGCCCTCTTTTAGAAAGAATCTACATCTTTGAAGAGGAAAATATCTATGTTATCAGAAATGTTTTATTAAGCATTCACATGCCTGTCTGAAAAAAATATCATTTTTTATGGATAAGCTGACCCCTTACAGAATAATTATACTCCACTTACAAAATTAAAAACAGAAAAACATGCTATGCTGTGATTCTTCTGTGGTGAAATTAAATTTTTAGCTTCTAATGCTATTTTTACATTAATATTTGGTTTGTTCTTGCTCATATTTTCTTGTTGGCCATTCTTTGTTTATTTTTGTTTACTACAGGATTCAGGGGTTAGGTTTCAGGAAGAAAAACAAATAAGGAAAAATACTTCTGAAGTTCCATACCACATCAATTGCCTCAACATAGTAAATACGGACTTAAAAAAAAAAATGTCAAGACTCCAGTACCTCGTCCCCAATCCTCTGGCGAGATCTAAATGCTGTAGGAAGGGCATCATCCAGTAACTGTTTCCACCAACATCCCCTACCCTCCATGTACCTGCCCAATTGTGCAATCCTTAGCTGGAGTGTGAGGACGTCATTTTCTCAACAAGCACTGGGTCAGTTATAAAGTACTTGGCATTGTGGGAGAGCATTTCTTTCTGACCTCCGTCAGCAGATGCTTGATCTCTGGAAGCCTGGGAATTGATTACCTCCTGGTAACCACAGTTGAAATCTCACTTAAACATTTGGGGAGAAGAGAAGGGCACGGGTTGGGCAGTCTTATTGCTCCTGGTGGTCAGATCCATTGATGAATTGTCTCTTGGGGAAGATGGAGAAAGGAGTGTGCAATGATTTGTGTATTCAGGAACTTACAGGGTCAGGTGAATGCAATGAGTTAACTATTGTGTTTACCTGACACTTGCCTTTATTTTTTGGGGTTGGTACAAAATTTCAATATTAGATCTCTGTGCATCTTTCTGGGCTTGGAAGAAGGTCTAAATAATTGCAAATGGCAAATTGTTATTTGAAATAATATTTATGAGACTTTATGATACATACATTTACTTATTTCCCATCTTAGAACAAATGACAAATAGCAACTAGAAGAAAGAAGACAGACTGGATCCCATGAGGCACAACTGAGGCCCCTACCAGCCCATAGCATCTCGTATTAGAAGAAAATTCAATTTGTCTTTGATGCCATTTACAGACAGTTTCTAGTCTCCCTACAATCTAAGTTGCAAAAATATTAATATAGGTTTTTTACCTTTATGGAAAACCTATATGCCCCTTAGGTTCATCTTTACTTCATTCAAATTATTAATGATATATAACTTAAAAAAAAAAAAACCTTTCCATATGAGGTTTTGCCTGTCTTTTCTTACCACTTGTAATGAGTTTCCTGGGTGTTATCAGATGTTTCTTTCTATTTTTGCCATCTTCCTTCGGAAACTAGGTGATTTTAACTGCTTGTAGAACAGGTGGGCACCATTGATTTCTGTATGACGTTGGCATATATTCTGTTTCATTTTTACTGCAATTTAGTAGTGTATTTGCTTTCTTTCTTTCTTTCTTTTTTTTTTTTAAATTCTACTGAGCGTCACGCATACATCTTCATTAAGATGTCTTCCTTGAGCCTAGATCTTTTCCTTGTAAGTTTAGAACTAATTCAGAACTCACCCGAGTGGATGAGTAATTTAAATTGCTACTTCTAACATGCAATACTTTGCAGTTGTCTGCTCTGAGTTTCATCTGCCACTGTTTTACCCAATTACTGAGTTTGGATTCTGTGTTTCTCACATCCATCTGTATAGACTTAGGGAACCAAAATAGTTTTGTTTAGTCGGCAAATTTCAGCTCCTCATTATTTAGTTCATTTTCAAGGGTGTTAATAAATATCCTGGAGTATACTACTCTTACACCGATTGCTGATACCCCACTATTAACTCTTTTCCATGCTGGGAGCTGGTCATTTATTCTTTCCTTCCCCCTCTATCTCTTAACTCTCTTTTAACTCATGACTGACAGCCTTTTACCTCTTATCCAGTGGTTGGCAAGTTCCCTTAACAGTCTCTTGTGTAGGACTTTGTCAAAAGCCCTTGGAGAGCCTCAATAAATTATATCAGCTAGTTTTCCTTTATCCACCATTTTGTTGCTTCTATAAAGTTTTGTTTTAAACATACCAAAGGCTCATAAACAAAATAACAACTTCCAAATGTTCCAGAAAGTTCTCTCCTCCTTTTGGATATGCCATCTTATCATCTAGTGCTGCTTTTTCTTTTTGTTCCCTTAATAATTATTTTCCATTTTGATCCTCCCCCCTGCAAACCAAAGACGTATTTTCTGTCTCCTTTCATGTTGTGACACAACCAATAAGATTTCAAGCTACTTCACAAAGTAAATAAATTCCACTGATTGGCCCCTTCAGAATTGTTGCTAACTCATTCACGCATTCAACAGCTTGTTTGAAGTTTCAAGAAAGCAAATTTTCTCTTTGGTAGTTAACATTTAACATTTTGGTTTCAGGGGCATGACACCCTGTCAGGACTCTTCTATAAAGATATTTATTTAGGCCATATTCACCCTACTCCAATAATTTCTTTTTTAAAAAAGATTTTATTGATTTATTCATGAGAGACACAGGCAGAAGGAGAAGCAGGCTCCCTGCAGGGATCCCGATGTGGGATTTGATCCCAGGACCCTGGGATCATGACCTAAGCCAAAGGCAGATGCTCAACCACTGAGCCACCCTGGTGCCCCCAATAATTTCTTACCTTATAGAAATGTCTTCTTAATTAAAAAAAAAAAGGAAATTTTAAAGTGTGCAGTAAGTAATCCATCAAAAGCTCTTCTTCGTCATGGCTCTGGGTGTGATCCTAGCCTGGAAGCTTGCCAGTGGTGGCTGCTCCTTATTTTGAAGGAAAGGGGTCCACTGGCAATGGTGCTGCACATGGGGGTTGGGTTGGGGTGGGGGTGGGAGGCAAGGGGGGGCATGAGAGGGGGTAGTAGGGAGGCGACATGCTGGCATTTACATTTATTTTTGCATTTACATTTATGTGAGTTTTGAGCCTCACAACAACCTCTGTAAGACTATTATTATTATTATTATTATTATTATTATTAAATTGTAGAGTAAAAGAACACATAAGAAATATTGTTTGCCCAAGGCCATGGGGAATGTTAATGACCCTAGACTGGAACCTAAGTTTTCATATCCTCCGTCCAAGGTCCCTTCTGTTCTTCTGTTGTGCCCTTGTGAGCTCTTTTATTCCTTTGAGTAGAAAGTGTAAAAGATTTAAGCCATTTTAAAAATTACTCGTAGCTTCTTATATACTATTTATTTCAAAGCCTTTTTGGGAGATGCACATTTCTAAATGTGGAGGGGACATATCCTTGCCCTTTTATATCTTATACCTGCCAAATCTTACCCTTTTGAAGTGAAGGACATTTTCATTTTGGATTAAGACTACATATAAAAGCATTTTGTTCTCTGAGGTAAGCTTTTCTTCAGTGTTTCAACAAACCATTTATACTTTTATCATTTTTTTCCCCTATAAAAAAAATCTCCCTCATTTAAATTGTCACAGCTTGGGAGCCCTGCCTGGAATACATAATAACTGCTTGTAACACTTAAAATGAAAACAAATTTACCAAGGATGGGTGGAATGACAACAAAGAGCAAGGAAAATATAAGTGCCTGGAAAGTCGTCTCTCCTACGCATATATTTTCAGCACTAAGTATTTTTATTGAAATTGCCGTTTCCTGTTCTGCTGGCCTCCTCTTCATCTGGATTTTTTTTGGGGGGAGGGAGTTAAGAATCTAAAGATCTGAAGAGAGACCAATGAGTCTTGAGAGTTTTTACTTGATTTCTTGGGTTCCGAAGGGAGCTTTTGATGAATCTGAGCAGAAAATTGATTGACAAGTAGCAGTTAGAAGAAGGCTTCCCAGACTTGGTACTATTGACATTTGAGGCCAGTGTGTTTTTGTAGGGGGGAGGGCTATCTTGTGTATTGTAGGGTGTTTTGCAGCATCCCTAGCCTCAATATGCTAGATGCCAGTAACAGCCCCTTCCACAGTTGTGACAACCAAATATGTCTACAGACATTGCCCAAAGTCTCTGGGTTTAGAACCCTGACTTAGAGGCAAGTTTCTTAAGAATGCACTTTGGGACTCTGGTTGGGACTTTGGCACACTTCACATTCCTCCCCATGAGCAATCTCTCCCTATCCTTGTCTTGATCCCTGGAAATAAATCTGACTCCAGTGAAGCTTGCTTGCTTACCCAGCCTTTGTTTACACTTTTTTTCCCCCAGTGAATCTGAAAGATCCATTTACTCTTTTGCCAGAACTAAATAGAATGGACAAAACACTTTGAGAGTTTCCCTATTGGTTGGGTGGAACGCATGACATTTCCTGAAAATTCCATGCTCCTCTCTGGTCTTACCCTATTACTCCTTTCTTTTTCCACCCAGTGTGAAAACTATGATAAAGTGAGAACCCGACTGGGAAGCCGCAGACCTCGCTGACCTTGGGTGAGCCAGTCCCTGCTCTGGGCTTTTGTTTTCTTATCCACACTTTGAAATGGTTGGACTAGATAATACATCTTCATGGCCTTTCAACTCTAGAGTACCATGGTCTGAATGTTCTTATTTTTTTGTGTCTTCTTTAATTTGCCAACTCAGACTTTAGAAGCAACCTCTACTCTCTCAATGACACTGATTTATAAACATACTTTTGCAAAAACATTTGTTTGGAGTTTACTGACTTTATTTCATCTATATGCCCCTCCCCCCAAACCTAACTTTATTAACCCAATTTTGGAAAACTTAGTCATATCTCTTGAAGTAGACACTCATTTGTTATAATGATTATACCAAGAAATTTAGAGTTAAATCACAGTTTACAAGACTACATTGTGCATTGAGATTACAACAGCAAAGTGTATGAATGAAAACCATATTTCAGGGACGCCTGGGTGGCTCTGAGGTTGAGTGTTTGCCTTCAGCCCAGGGTGTGATCCTGGAGTCCCAGGATCGAGTCCCACATCCAGTCCCTGCATGGATCCTGTTTCTCCCTCTGCCTGTGTCTCTGTGTCTGTCATGAATAAATAAATAAAACCTTTTAAAAGAACATATTTCACATACATTAGGGAGAACAGGTTATTTAAAGCAACAAGCTAGGGAAGCCTTTTGGGGGGGAAAAGGAGTTTTTTTTTTTTTTAATAGATCAAGTAACTACTACTACTGGATTCATTTGGATATAGGCATTTCAAAATTATGAAAATCCGATTCATTCCTACAAATGTCTGCATTCTTTTGCGGCTGCTTTTACAATGCTGCTGGTGTTCACTCTTGGGAAGCTAGTGCCTTTGCACAGACAGTCCCGGCACTACGGGGCACCGAGGGACTGAGGTGGGGCTGGCTGGGGGCCCTCGGCCGGGTCAGTCTTCCTCTCTGGGCTTGTTTCTGAAATGGGGCAGTCGAATTTGATTTCTAAGGTCTCTGTTAGCCCTGAAGGTCAGTGAGTTGGATCAGAAGCGTTGGTGAGGAACCAGGCTTTGGAACACAAACGTCCTCAGCAGGGCGCCCCCTGAAGGGCGGGTGACTCTCCTGCCCCAGGAGGGGGGAGGGCGGGGCTCCCTCCCTCCCTCCCTGGGGCGCCCTCCCCGCCCCCCAGCTCAGCGCCTGTAGATAAAAGACAGCAGTTCTAGGAAAAGTAGGTGGGATCCTGCTCAGGAAAGTGCCTGACAGGCTCCAGGGGAAGGAAGAGGACAACTGGTGGGGGAGTTGCATGTCCTTGTCCTTGAAGGAGCACAGAGGGGGTGTTGGGGTGCTGGTGTGCTGGTGACCGGCATCCCCAGGTGTGACCGGAGGGCTCTCAGTCCAGGGATGCACAACGAAGTTCAGAAAGCCCAGTCCCAGGGCGCTCACATGTAGCCACGTGCAGAGCAAGCCCCCATCTCTCTGGGATCACCAAGTCCTGACTGACAGATCAAAGCAGCCGTTGGGTTTTTCCGGGGAATGTTTGTTAAGGAACCAGCCCACAGAAATCCTTTCCATCGGCCTTTCTCAAAGGTGCCCTGGATGCCTCGCATCATTACCACCCTGACCACCCATCTGTTGAAGAATTATTTCGTGAGACACCCTGTGCCAGGGGCTGTGCTGGATGCTTGGGGCCCAGGAGTGAACAAATGGCTTGCCCCCCCACCCCCCAAGGAGCGTGCAGTCCAGCAGGGAAGGCCGAGGGTGCCCAGGGGAGGTCGTAACTAAGTTACACAGCGTGTTAGAAGGTGATGGGGTCAAGGGATAAAAAGGAAAAAGAAAAGGAAAAGAAGAGATGCTTTTATTTCATCTTCTGCTCTTGCTTTTCTTCTTGCTCCAGCGTTAGGCATGCCGCTAAGTATGTTTTCCTTACTGCAGTTTCTTAAAGATTTTATTGATTCATTTAAGGGAGACAGAAACTGAGAGAGCACAAGCAGGGGGAGAAGCAGAGGGAAAGGGAGAAGCAGACTCCTCGCTGAGCAGGGCAGCCACTCCGGGCTGGATCCCAGGGCCCTGGGATTACAATCTGGGCAGAAGGCAGGAAGACGCTTAACCATCTGAGCCACCCAGGCACCCCCCTACTATGATTTCTTACTTAATTTTTTTTTACAACTGGCATGACTATCACTTGAAACTCATCCCATACTATGTCGTGCCGATTTTATGAGGTGAGTCAAGTTAAAATGCCTTGCATTGGTCACTGACACATTTTCTAAAATTTCAATACTTCCATGACGTGGGCAGAAGAGGGTATTATTACCCCCATTTTACAGATGAGGAGACCAAGTTTAAAAGAATCTCCACAAAGCTTGGTGTCATGCCTTTTTCTCAGTATTCTTTTGTAGACTTTTGTGGTAAATATTTTGACCATTTGTGTGTGTGTGTGTGTGTGTGTGTGTGTGTGTGTAAAGTGTTAGCACTTTCAAACAACTGACTTCTTCAAATAACCATGTGGAACAAACCTGGTATTCATTGGGAACATCTAATATGGTGATTACTCTAAGTAGATACACACATGCTGGGATATTTGCCATTCTAGGAAAATGACAGTTAAAAAGAAATTTACTTCCATGTGTGTTTGTTTGATGGTCACCACTGTGGTTCTTGATAACAGAGTTATCCTCAGAGGCCACAAGATTTTCTTGGAGAGCTGGAGACCCACCCTGCTCATGATGGTGGGGGGAATTTTTTTTTTTTTTTTTACCCCACAGCATAACATTGGCCAAGCGCAAAATCTTTTTTTGTTTTTCCCTAGACTCTAAGGATACTGGTGAATATTAGCATACTGGGCTCCGAGCTCTTATTGCTTATTTTCTGGAATTCAACATCAATTGATCTTCTGGAAGTGAGCCACGAACTGGGGTGCAATCTAGGTAGGTCTTCTTTAGGCGACAAATAGGATGTGCGCTAGTGTGCTAGTATGCATGGACATGCACACACAGACACGCACAGATGATTTCCTAAAGTTCCTAGGGAAATTGCCTGTGTACATTCAGATTATATAATTTGACAGGATGTAAAGGTAAAAGTTATATCTCTGAATTCCTTTGCTTTGGCCCCCACCTTCCCCACCCAGTCCCTAAGCCTGCATGGGACATCTTTATCCTACTGTAGGAATCTGTGGCAAAGCCTTTGTCTCCAGACTGGTTCTCTATAAAAGTTCTTGGGTGCCTTTTCATTAGTTGCTCCATGCTCAGCACCCACAGTCTAATTTCAGTGTTAGTACAACCAGGCATGTTAGGGAAAGTAAATTTACTTCTGCTGCTGTTGCAAAAATATGATTATGTAATGTTTTGAACACCAGCTATAAATGACTTTTATTTTGTAGGCCCCCCCCCCCAATAATCTAGGATACTGCTCTTAAGAGTAATGTGAAAAACTGGGGGATTTCTAGCTTCATTTCTTTACCACCGCTTCTCTTGTTTAGAATATACACCCAATACCAAATTACTTGCAACAAGTTAAAATTAGCAGGCTCCTTCAAGGGGAGATGGGCTTTGGCATAAGAGAATGTAGGATTTGGAACCTGACATGACATTTTAGGAGTTGTGTGACTTTGGCTTATTTAGGTCACTTCTCTGAAGCTTGATTTCCTTTTCTGTAAAATGGAAGAAGTGTCTCTTACAAGTTTTTCTGTTGTATTGTTTTGTTTGGGAATTAAAAGGGATAACAGACAAAGTGCCTGCATTTAGGTACAAATGCTCAGAAAATGTTAGTTTTTGTCTCTCTTTTTCACCCTTTCCCCCTTTGTTGAATAATAAAACTTTCTTGGAAATGAAATTTTTATGTGACAGGTTTATTTCTCCATTAGGACTCTATACAGTAGGAATGGTTTGTGGTGCATCGAGGAGGTGTCAGCTCCCCACGTGTGGTTGGTGGGAGATTTATTCTCTTTGCCACTGTGTTGATTCCAAGACACTCATCTAAACTAGTAGCTGAAGATGACACCGGGGACGATCTGTTTCAGTATTTGCTGTGGGACTGTTTGCCCTTTAAAATCCATTGGTTTGGGAATTAAGAGATCAGCTGTGTTCATCCAGCTTGAAAGTATGCTGGAAAAATAACAGATACTCTCCTGGCTTCATCTGTCATAAAAGTCTCTTCAGTCTGAAGTGCTGTGCCAGAACTTTCCTCACCGTCACCATCATAGGAGCGAGTTTCTGGCCAATGACCCATCCTATAGTCAATTGCTTCTTTCTTAATTTGATAGCTGGGAAGAGCACAGTGACTTCCACACTGAGGAGAAAAAGATGAGGTTTGATGATTAGGGCACTTTGAGAAATTATAACAGGTCCTACTGAGAGCCTCCCTTTTTGAATCAGGTGCAAAGGATAGTATTTGGAAGCCCTGGGCAAGAGCTTCTGCAGGAGACAGTTACAAATTAGTCCTCTTACTCTTGTAAGCTGAGTGGTTGGCACCTGGTTCAGAACACGGCCTTCAGCATTAGAGAACATTCCCAAGCCACAAAGAATGATCTGCACGTTGCCTTCCTTATGAAATGAGAAAAGGGTCTCCAAAAGAAATAAAACACAGGTGAGGAAAGCTGACGAATAATTAGGAAAAGTAAGATGAGAGTCAGATTCGACATGCGGTACTATCAAAAACATAATGAGAAACAGCTCCATTAACTTTGCGTGAGTAACTAGATGCATATACTCTTAGGACTTAAATCACAAGCAAAGCGGAAATTGCCTAAAGAAGTAAATAATTTCTTGATAGAGCCTTTTATAAATAATCATGGTTTGTCTCTGCTGGATATTTCATGTTTAAATTGTCATCAAAAGTTTCCATTTTAGCAACAAGGCATGGGATTGTGTTTTTATGATAAATGTAAAAAGCGAAGTTCTTAACAACATCCCCTTAGAATTATTCCTTTAATTCTATTTACATCTGGAATTCACCAAGGAAACAAAAAACAAGCAGAAACAAATCATACATGATTTGTATGGGTCGGGGGAGGGGGGGGACTTGTGCACTTGCAGTGGTAATAA